GTGACCATCTCAGGGGAGGAAAATGCCTTTCCCTGAGATCTCAGATGAGATTACAGATGAGATTTCTCAGCAATGCTCTGCTGATGAAGTCATTTTGCCCTTTCAAAGCAGGAAGTGAATTCAAAATCCAAGCATTTTACACCTGACATGTCTATGTTAATTATTAATCATCATACATAGAGGGATGCATCAGTAGAATTTGTTTTTTGAGTGTAAAAGTCCGCTTTAAAGCCCATCACCAGGCACAATTCCAGGACAACGTTCAGACATCCTCCAGGGTCATCATCTACTTCCTGGACTGGTGCTTGTGCAGTTCATAAATGACTGGCATGGCTTGGCTCCTGCTGAAGACTATCACCTGATTTTCTACAAAATTAAAATGTTGCAGCCTAATTACTAGAGGAAAGTGAAGAAATGCTTTGTCTTGCCTGCGGCAAACTAATACCATCATCTCAACCTCATAGGCTTTTTAATGATAAAACCTTCCTATCGTGGACAAAAACCTGGCTGTTCTGATGACAAGTCTCTGAAACTTGCAGCTAAGCACCACAACCAAATATTAAAGCTGAACTCCAGCCAGTTATAAAAGATTCAAATTAAGGCAGTTCAGAAATCATGAATACATCCTCTGTTTTTAAATACAAGTATTCTAAGTACCAGAATGCACCTTGCAATTTCTGTACAGTAGAACTTCGACTCTGAGGAACAGAGAAGCAGCACAAGGAACCAAGCAATTGTGCTGCAGTGCAAGCAGCATGCTAATAGGAGGAGAAAGCATAGTGACAGAGAGATAAGCTCATCAGTCTGCTGCTTCTCCTTTCACTATCTAGACACAGGCAGACGGTGTGGAGGAAACCTGTAAGTGATATCGAACTGCATTATCCGGTCTTCTGCCCTGCCGCACAGGAGTATCCTCTGTGGCAGAGTGGTGTTCATTTCTGAACAGGATGGACATAAATACAAATGATATGGAAAGTAAAACAGCTCTCATATATGAATTCCATGAACCCATCACACTCCTAATCATCTGGTCCCCAATATTTGGTTCTACGGATGGCACCATTACAGATATGAGAAGACACTGGCACTCCAAAGATGCTGAAGAACACGTCTTTTTTAACGTACAGTATGTCTGTACAATCTCATAATAGCAATTGTTCATAAACAGACATGGTGTTCATAATTTATCTTTAAAAGAGAACTATGGGATAAGTGTTTTTCCCCATAGTTCTCTTTAGGGACACGGGAGGACATAAACTAGCGTCCTCCCGTGACCCAAAGCTCAGTATTGCCCACGATATACTGAGAGCATCGCAGCCGGGATGGATCCCAACACTATTGTGACAGGTGGCTCTGCCTATCTAGAGGCAGCACAAGCTGTACACGCCCAGCTGTGCCCATCTAGATAGACTCAGCGCTGGAGGATCGGAGAGGGGAGGGGGGAACCCCTGTGGTGACAGTCACCGCTCACTGCAGGGAGACGTTCGGGAAGTGAGTGTATCGGCTGCATGTTTCTGCTCACTTCTTGATCAATAGAGCCGACCTGTGAGCAGGGCCATATTTACTCTCTTTGCTGCCCCAGGCAAGGTTCCTCAATGCGCCCCCCCTACCCACCAACCCCCCCATGGAGAATTGCAGACCTACAGGCTGCATACAAGTGATCTCAGCGACATCACCGAGATCACTTGTACAACACATGCGGCGGCTTCCCCGCTGTACATTTAGCTCTGCTTGCTCAAAGCTGGGCTAAATGTAGAAAACAACTATCCACCCGGTGCCCGGAACTGCATGTCCCGGGCATCAGGAGATAGGAATACCACACCCCTGCTGCCCCTCTACTCCCTGCTGCCCTGAGGCCAGGCCTTGGTTGACATTGTGGGAAATCCAGCCCTGCCTGTGAGAGCGTATTTGTCAAAGGTCGGCTCTAACTATGAGGATGAGTGGAAATCACTCACCTCATAGTTCTCCTTTAAGCAATTGCATCAGTCATTATCTTGTGTTACAAAGGACACTATGCATGTAGTAAACATACAGTATCCCTCATGACAGTTGTTTTAGGAAACCGCGATTTAAAATACTTATTACTGGTCCTGCTATTTTGTTTCATTTGCTTAAGCTTTCCTTTTTTCTTTAGTTGGGCATGCTCATGCTTGGTCTATAATTTGACTTGATGTGCACTTGCCATTGTTTTTACCCGGTGCAATCACCTTGTGCTTTTAGTTATGATTTTCATTTGGAAAGCATTTATAAGTAAACAATAAGCACAAAGGATGCATTGCCAATTTAAAAATCAGCATTCCTTCCCCGAAAGTGACATGAGTATCACACTTCCTGTCCGTTCATTTACAAAACGTTCCTTTTAACAAAATATCACTGGCAGGTTGCTAGGTAACCAGGAATATATCATAGTAAAGCTTTCCAACAAACAGCGCTCATGATTATGTGGATATAGAAGATGCTAAGGAAACAATTTCATCAAACAAAACAATTTCTGTCCATCTTTATTTTACAAGTGATAGATGGCGCAAATCCTGTATTGTTTTGAGTAAAATGTTTCATTGTATTGTCAAGTCAATTTTCAGTTTAATTCTTTGCTTCTGGACATGTCAATAAAAAACAAATACAGTGAATATTTTATACGGATCGCTTTTGCTTACGGAGGAAAAAAGGCACATTTTGCATTGTGACAACGCGCTCTGAAAGAAGTGAGTCAGTTGAAGAAAACTGACAAATCAAACAGCTTTGTTTTTCCAACTCTCTTTAATGTTATACTTATTATTATCATAACATGCAATTTATAGGAGATTCTCACCATTCTCTGCATACTGGCTGCAAATTCAAACAAGACTGACAGTATGAACATCTCCAGTGGTTGCTTAAAACTCCATTTTATAAAAATATTGTTTAAAATTGTCCCCGGAAGATTTAAGAATAAAAAATCAGCTCTGATTGCAATAATGACCCTTTCACTCTCCAACACTGTCTTCTGTATGCCTCTCCCAGGTTGAATGGTTCAGTCTACTTTCTTTACATGCAGGACATGCATAGACATGTCCCCTGGGGTGGGGAAGGGGGGCATCAGCGGCAACCTGCATTCACATACAGTAATTTAAGGAAAGGCCCATTAAAGTGACATTAAGGTCACACATTTTTTCATCCCCCCATGCTGCTTTAAGGACTTAAATGATGCCTCTTGGTCTGATCATCTTCATCCTTCCACTTGTATTGAGAAGTCCCTCCAACGCTGGTGCCGGTCTCTGATCCAACCCTGACTCCTCAGGTCCCACAGTGTTTGTCCAATGAGCACGTTCACTGCTGCGTGCATTCATCTCCACTGTATCTCTCCTCTTCTCCCCACCAAAGATCTCTACTGCGCCTGCCCTATCATTCTGCCCGGCCACTCGAGAGGCTTCAGGTCTTCAGACGGAGCTAGCGGCGGTGACATAGGTAAGTAATAACCTTTTCGGCAACTTTTATTATTTTTTGTAATGTTTTTACATATATCTACTGCTTGCCAACAGTAGATATATGCAAAAAAACAAACAAATCAGTGTTTCATTTTACTTTAAGCATCACCCAACACTAGAGAGGAGGTGCAGAGGACCCTATGATGGCATGTGATTAGCATTAAGAAATCTTAAAATCATAAGTATAAAATGGAAATAAATGTGGGGGGAGAAGTGGGGTTGGGGGAGGGGTAGGAGGAATTGGATTTTAAAGAGACACTGTCACCTTGCCCGTGCATCATCCCTATTATCAAGGGCAATGGACCAAGGACATCCTCTGCCAACCTTATACTTACCTAACCTGTGTCCCCATGCAAATCCTTGTGACTAGTGCTGAAATTGGTTGGGTGGTAGTGTCTTCAGTGTTCTCCCCCCCCCCCCCCCCACCTGGTCATCGACAGTCCTCAGGCCTATCGATTGGCGATTGGGCCTGAGCACTGTCACAGGGGAGCAGGTCATGGTGGATATTCTCTCTGGCCGTGGAGTAGCAAGGAGCTGCATGGATGTGCAGGAAAAGTAAGTATCAGGGATCCAGGAATACCCTTTGAAGAGGCATTATCACTTTGCTCTGCATGGGCTTGGTGTCAATGTCTCTTTAAAGTAAACCTGTTGTTAATAAAACATGAAGCTTTCTCATTGCTTAGCTCTCTTTCTACAATTGCTAGTTGCCTGCCTTTATTAATGTTCTATTGTATCAAAACCTTGAGTCGCTCAACCCTAGAAAGGTATGCAGATGAGGACTTTTGACTTTCTTCATCTGCATACTTGCTCTGCATCAGAAAGTATTGGTGCCCAGGTCAGCATATCGGTGAGGCAACTACAGTAGAATTTTCAGAAGAAAGTCAACAAGCTCAGCCTATATATTTCTCTCATGTCAGATCTCCTTTAAATAAAATAGGAGCCAGAGAAGAAAGGAGAGGAGTGATTTGCTCAGTAGCTATTAGCTTGATAATTTAGATGATAAATCTCTGTGTTTTGGCTCATTGCATTTTACTGCACAATATTTTCAGCGTGATGTTAGTACTATCTTCACTATGGTAATTGTATTCATCCTCATAATTTCATGGTTAAAGTGAAACTCCAACAAATGTTAAACATTTTTCTGCAAGGAAAAAGGGAAATCATAGTAAGTGTTTCTTGTAGATCCATGAGTAAAATGTCCAATGAGAGGCCAAATTCTTCATTACAAGGAAACATAACAGCCAACAAATTTCAAGGGCACCAACACTCCTCCTTCATCAGGACTGCAGCAGAAACAAGAATATAAAGATGGAAATATTGGAAACATTCATGAATAGTTACAGAAAATCCCATATAGATCCCATTCATATAGACTGGAACTCGTTATGAGGAAATACATAGCATGCAAAAATAATCAAGCAAAGATACAATTCCCTAGTTAAACGTAATATTCTGTATATGGGTCTGGGGTTGTTGGAACAATCATAATTGTTACTGTTGTGAACTGTTATGTTCCTTTTTTAGAGACTTTGAAAATTTATTATCTGCTGCATACTTTTCTATGTGTTCAAAAGCCAATATTGTCATCTTGTTATTATGAAGCAGATTTTAAGTGTTCACTATTGTGTCAGCTTTTCATATGTGTGTATATTAACTACTTTTAACTTTTAACTTTAACTTTTAACTATAGATGATGACCTGTAACTTTGCTTGATCATTTGTGCATGATATATTTGGTCTTTTCTTATGACCTGGTTTTACCGGTTATGGCTATATGACTTTGTTTAAGTTATATTTTGTTCTAATATATTCTGTGAGCTTTCATGATTGTTCCAACTATTTTCATTTTTGCATATTTTTTCTAAGGCTTCACCGATAAAGAGGTTCCCATAGTTTTAATTTCCCTGAAACGTTTTGGATCTTCCTTTTTCCTTGTTATGTTCAAACCGATATTATAAGACTTTGAACTTCAGATCTTTGGTCTGGTGCTCTCACTAGACTTTCACATAAGGATCTTGAATTAAGGGGTATCCTGTATTTGTTGACAGCGGTCACTGTACTCTAAATGAACTCAACTGACTTTCTACAGCTATGAATTACTGGTAAGTCAAATCCAGCAGCTTTGATATACATGTTCAGCTGTTTTATTATACTCTGTGTCCATGTTAGGATTTTCCTCCTCACTGTTGAGATGACACAGAAAGGAAGAAAAAACAGAAGTTTGATCCTGAAGTTCTAACCTTAAAGTGTATCTAAAATCCCTTGAGTTTTAAGTTGAGTTTATTTTGAGATTTGGTATGGAAGGGTTAAAACCCTTGTGAAAAATGTATTACTATCTGTGATTATCAGTGCCGGGGAGGATTAGCCCTCAGTTTTTCCTGGGGGCTATTGTCATAGGAATGAGAAGTGATGGAAAATCAAACATTTTACAATTGTCGCCACAACAGAAGGGTGGTGGGAATCTCCCATTGGGAACATTTTCTCTGGTGACAACTGTCTAAGAGGATATTTCCCCTCTGCCCTAGGAGGTTTCCCTGAACAGTGGCATGAGAACTCCCCAATAGGACGGCTACTGATTTCAAAACTTCAAAAAAGATTTTTGGCTAGAGATGCACTTTGAATGGAAAATTATCTCTGGAAGTTGTGACTAAACAAAGGCAGGCAGAGGGCAAATAACAAGTCACCAGTATTGCCCATAGACTTCATGCAGTTTATCATTTCCCTATTACTGACTTACAATAACAGCCAGACCACCCACATTTTCAGGAATGGCAGCCTGTATAGTTCTCCTACTTTTTAAGTGTATGTAAAGCCAAAACTTTTATTTTTAGTTTTCAATAAAGTAAAGGCTGGTTAAAGCCCCTATCAGGCTTCTTTGTTGTATCTGTCCCATTTGGGGGATATTCCAAAGACACAACAGGAAGTAAGAAGAAATATCTTCAAAGCAAGAGGAAATTCCCTCTTAGAGAGTTGCCACCATAACAGGTGTCCTCATTGAAAGGTTTCCCTTCCCCTCCTGTTCATAGTGACTCTAAAATATTACATTTGTCTTTCTCTATTGGAATCATTGGTCACCAGGAGGAATGGAGGGGGCAGATCTTCCCCACTGGGGGCAAGAATGGCAATAAAAACCTGAGAGGAGTTTTAGCTCTTTGACACTATCCAAAACTAAAAACAGATTTGGCTTAACAAACACTTTAAAAACTGTGTTTGCACGTGCACATTACCTTTTTCAATACCTAAAACAAAAATGTTTGACAATTTAACCTCATACACTATATGCACATTACATAAAGTGTAATAATAAATTGCCCATATAACAATTTGCATATCCCATGACATCCGTAAAGGACAAATAAATTGTAATTGCTCTAACAGAGTCGGGATCTCACATCTAACTTGGGGTTGGAGAATTTTCATCATTATCCCTTAGCACTGTCACACAAGTAAGCCATTGGTATTTATGTGTCACTCACAGTCATTTGCGACTAAGTAGTTTATAACGCAAGATCTTCTCTCCTGCTCCACTTTCTGCCTCCTAATGTGTTTTGATACAGTTTTATGAGTCACTTTAGTGCAGTAGGTTCTGTTGCGATTATGATCACAAATCATACGAGACATATTGAAATAGAACATAATACCCTAGATTCTGCTACTCCATATCAACAGCAAAAACTGAGCTTTTTAAATTGTTCCTCTAATATGCTATTTGCGGTATTAGTTTTAAACTTAATAACCAACTTCTCCTAGTTTGATTCCAGCAAATACAATAGTGTATTAACTGTGTTTTTGCTTGTGTTTTTTTTTTTCCATATTTTTTTTTATTTCTGTCTTGTTTACGATCACCCGCCGTCTTTGGAAGCTTAATCGCAATATCTAACCAACTACAATTATTGTTTAATTTGAAAGAAACGTAACTGCAATTTGGCAAGTGAAAGTTAAAAAAGTTCTTTCAAGCGTACTAAACATCTGAAATGGATGGAACAGCGCTGAAAACATAAATTAAATCAACAACATTCGCGTTTCGACTCACAATGGAAAAAATTCAAAAAGCAAATAGAGTGTTAAATCACAGCACAATATTTGCATTAATTGTAATTTGGGTACAATTTAGCATGACATTGAAAAGAATGAAGTAGTTATGAAAAGAATTGCCTAAGACATTGAAGATTAAGAATGGAAAGGCTTGGAAATTAATCAGTGTTGTTTTCAGTGTTCTATGTTGGTATTTTCTATCAGTAGCAGAGTTTTAGTATTCTTTTATAGTGCATGATGTTTGAAATGTAAAGACAGATGAACCTTTGTTTGCCTAGCCATCAAAGATGTTTCACAAGCAGAAAGGCACTAGCTTCCCTCAAGCAGAAACATTTTAAAGCCCAACTTTGCGCTCAATAGCAACCCCTACTCCCCATCCCCGAAGGCCCCTACACCGTGTGTTTTGCTTATTAGTTTTATGTTTACCTTACTCAGAAGTGTTCACGTTATAGATCTTCTTCCTGTTCACTTCTTATCCAGCCAAGGCAGATTTGCTGTCCTCACAGTCTATGTGATAGCTTAGTCTTCACCAGTGCACCCCCCTAGGAGTGATAGGCTGGTGACCATAGTGGTCCCCAAGCTGAGAGCTACTGCCAGGCTGCAAGCTACCACCAGGTTGTGTCTCTTTTGGATCACCCCAACTAAAGGTTCACAGGAACAGAGTGCCTATGATGCCGAGACACGTTATGAGGTAACAGGAGGTCAGAGTACAGGCAGAGATCAGGGCAGGCGGCAGCTGAGGGCATAGCTGGTGTCAAGGCAGCACAGTGGCGTAGTGGTTTACACTTCTGCCTTGCAGCAGTGTGGGTCCCCGGTTCAAATCCCAGCCAGGTCACTATCTGCAAGGAGTTTGCATGTTCTCCCTGTGCTTGTGTGGGTTTTCTCCGGATACTCCAGTTTCCCCCCCGACTCCAAAGACATGCTGGTAGGTTAATTGGCTCCTGTCTAAGTTGGCCCTCTATGTATGCATATGAGATAGGGACCTTAGATTGTAAGCTCCTTTAGGGTAGGGACTGATGTAAATGTGCAACTATGTAAAGTTCTGCATAAATTGTCAGCGCTATACAAATACCTCTAATAAATAAATAAGGCAAGGGTCAAGGCTGGCAGTAAGCAGAGCGAGTGGTCAGGAACAGGCAGAGTCAGCAACAGGGCAGGAAACAAGAGCAGAGTTAGGCATTCCAAGTGAATCAGGGACAACAGGATCTAGTGCAGCAGTTACCAGAAAGGAACACATTTATTATTATTATACAGGATTTATATAGCGCCAACAGTTTGTGCAGCGCTTTACAATATAAGGAAGTCATTACAATTACAATACAATTTAAGACATGTTTGCAAGGAGGGCACTGCTGTGAGAGCTTACCATCTAAAAGGGAGGGACAATTGATACATGAGGAGGTAGCTGTGTGGGGATAAGAAAGTGATAGTTTAGTGGTTTTTTTGAAGCGGAAAGGCTTCCCTGAAGAGGTGAGTCTTTAGGGATTGCCTAAAGGCAGTCTGAGTAGGAGATAGATAAGGAGGTTGGGGTAAGGAAGTCCAGAGGATGATAGAGACTCTATAGAAGAAGTCCTGGAGTCAAGCATGGGAAGAGTTGACGAGGTAGCTAGTGAGCAGGAGGTCTTTGGAAGAGCAGAGGGGACGGTTAGGGTGATACTTTGAGACAAGGTTGGAGATATAGCTGGGGGAAGAGTTGTGGATGGTTTTGTAAATGGTTGTTAATATTTTGAATTTTATCCTTTTGGTAACCGGAAGTCAGTGGGGGGATTGGTAGAGGGGAGTTGCTGACACTGAGTGGTTAGGTGGATGAGTCTAGCAGCAGCATTCATGATAGACTGAAGGAGGGATAGCCTGTGTAGAGGTAGGCCAATGAGGACGGAGTTGCAATAAGTGAGTGCTGGCTGCAGGAGGAGTGAGGGGTCTGGTAATTAAAACTGCTTTTTAATGATATCCTAGACAAAAAGAGATTTTTTTTTACCCTTGCAGGGGTAGTTTTAAAATGTCCCCGGAGTTCAGCTCTAAAGTGCATCTACAGTCCAAACTTTCAGTTTTGGATATAAATTGAGGAAAGGTTAGAACACCAGTGTTTACTGGTATCTGTGGCCCCATTAGAGAAATCTCACCAGTTCCTTTTCCAGTAAATGTCATCAAGACAGACATGAGACATGAGACATGAGACGGAATCTCCAAAATGGACATTGACAGTAATAATAACACTATTTTTTGTAGTGAAAGGCTAGAGTCCTGTCAGCTTTTTATTGACATCTGCATCCCCAATGAGGCCTCAGATATAATTAATAAAACCCAAGGTTCTAACTTTCCTCTATGCTATCCAAAACTAAATAAGTTTAGTAGAAAGTTACATTTAAAGCTAAAACTTTATTTTTTCATTTTGGATAGAGTCTGGAGTGTATAAAACTGTCTGTGTCTCATTTGTGAAATGTATCCCTTATTTCCTGTCTTTTGGACACATCAGGAAGTGAGAGTAAATCTCTCAAAAATTAGGGAA